GTGGGTGGGTAGACAGCTGGATCTCATCTTTTCAGATAAGCTACAGGAGGAACCACAGTCTTGAAGCCAAACTATCAAGTTTTCTTTGGAGCCCTGGGCTAGGAGTTGAGCAGGGAATTCTGTCCAAATCTCCTGTCCCCAAGCCAGGAAATGTCACCACAATCCATCCATGCAGATGTTCCAGTTCCAGCCCCTGGAGGTGCCCTGGACTTGTCTCCTACCACTCATTTGTCAGACGATGCTGTTCACACATCCAGAACCTGACTCCATCTAATAATCCCTCCTTATCTAGCACCTCCATGGCCTGACTCCTGCAAAGAGTCCTACATGGCTCTCAGATTTTTCCCTTGTCTGCCTAGAGTCTCTTTCCTATATTGGTGCCTCAGCAACCATCTGAACACATAGCTGAGACCATGCTGGTCCTCTGCTCAAAACTCTTCATGGCTTCCTGTTGTACTCAGAGTACCACACTCCATGCATGGCCTCCCAGACCCAATAGAATCCCTGCACCCTCTCTGATTCATCCCTCTTCTCCCCAGCCCCACAGCCCTAAGGCTTACAATTCCACAGCCATGAGCACCAAAACAAAAGCACTTGCCACTGACCTTGTGTTCTCCCTTCATATCTAGGGGAAGGGCAAGATGCCACACAGATAAGAGAGGGAAACCTGGCCTTGGCAAATCTCCCTAAAGCCCTGGACCCACCCTTGGGTCACCCCTTGATTTTGTAAGAGGACCACACTGAGAGCTTCGTTCTGGTGTTGGCTTTCCAGTATGTGAGGCCCTTTCTCAGCGTTTACACTCCCCTTGGAGCTGTTTGTAGAATATCAGTTACTTCCGAGTGTACTTTTCTAGTTTTCCGTGTCTTGTGTAACCAGTCAGGATTTTGTTATTCTTGTGAAAAGAACTGGAAAATCACAGACACCACTGATGGCAGCAAACCTGGTGTCCGAGTCACGGGGGTTGGGGTGGGGACACTTCTGGCCCGGCCTGCTCTCCTTTGTGCTTCCTAGGGCTGCAGACTCTCAGCCTGAGGTGGTGGAGGGTGCAGCCTCAGACCTTGCAGCATGATCAGGGAGAAAAACTAGAGGGATGAGTTTGAGGCCAGCCTGGACTACACAGGGAGATGCTATTGAGAGGAATATTGGCATGAGTGAGCGCTCTGAGGTATATAAAGTGCATAGATGCATGCCAGATGTGGATGGAGACGTTTTTCCAGGTGGCGAGGAAGAGGAAGAGCAGGTGGGGAGGGCTGTGCCATCATCATTAAAGGTGGCAAGTGTTATCAGTTTGGGGGAACATGAGCACTGAATCAGAGTTCCCTGGCACTGTGCAGGAGCAGTCATAGATGATGTAGAGTGAGTTATTTTAAGGAGTTGGAGGAAGAAATCAGTTTATGGAGGCCTCGAGAAGCAGATGATGATGAGGAACATAGAAACATATTTTGGTGACAAAAAAATTAGAGCTTTCAGAGCCCCGATAAGCTTTAGCTAATAAGACATTGTAGATTCTCAGAGGAGGCTGTGGTCCAGCCCTCAAGGCTGGATGAGGAGAAGGTGTCTGGGAAGCTGGAACTCCCCAGAGCCATGGATTCAGGTCAGAGAACATTGCAGACAAGACAGGAGGCTCTGTTCCTGGTCTGGAGGAGCTGCACATCAGAATGCAACAGCTACTTCTGAGACCCAGGAAGAAACAAGCCAGGCTGTCCCTCACTTTCCAGTTCTGCCTCTGCCTTCTGCCCCACTTCCCCCAGGTGGCAGTATGGAGGCAGGTCCACTGGCAGCTCTGAGCCATGGTGGGAAGAGCATGGGGAATGGCAAACCCAAACTGCCTAGGTGGTGACCAGGCGAATGACATTCCAGAGAGGATACCAGCAGTGGGACCTGCTTTGCAGTGGGGCAGACCAAGTGTTGAGCTCCCCCCCCCCCCGCTTTTTTTTGTTGGCCTTAAGGCTTGAACTCAGGGCCTGGGCTCCATCCCTGAGCTTTTTGCTCAACGCTAGAGCTCTATTACTTTGAGCCAAGTAGTGCTACTTCTGGTTTAATGGTGGCTAATTGGAGATAACAATCTATGGACTTTCCTGCCTAGGCTGGCTTCAAACCACAATCCTCAGATCCTCCTGAGGAGCGAGGATTGCAAGTATGAGCCACTGTCTTCTGCCTGTTTTAGGCAGGATGTGAGCCTCAACCCAGTCTCTATTCTGCCCAGTGTGTTGGTGCCACTGTCCACTGTCCATGGTGCTGAACCATGCTCCTACCTAGACACCACCCACCACCCATTCCTTGTTTTTGTTACCATTCCCTGGACTCTCTCTCACCCACCTTGACCTCGTAAATGACACAAGGAGGCAAATGTCTCCAGATCCTCTATTAGTCAAGAGACCTTTCTCAATTTTCTTTTCCTCTTGCTTTTTTTCAGATGAGTTCTTGCTATGTGGTCCAAGCTGGCCTTAAATTTGAGACCCTGCACTACTTTTCCAAGAGTTGGAATTAAAGGTGTGTTACCAAGCCAGGACATATTTCTTACTCTTAATAGTGGCAAGTCACTTATCTTTACAAAATACTTTCTTGACTAAACCAAACACTCTGGTGGAAAGGAGCAAATTTGGGACTCCTGGGATGACCGCTGGCCTTAGGTGTGACGCGTAGCTTCTTGGAGACTGGAAGGAGAGAGGCATCAGGGACTGCTGGTTCCACAGCGGATGCTGTGGCCATGTGTGAAAAAAACTGCTGGTGCCACACTGCTTTTGCCAATGACAGCAAGGAACAAGTTTGAGAGACAGACACCATACAATGGAAGGAGACTTGCCTGTCCTCATAGTTAAGGGATTAGACTGGATGGGTTTGCTTCAGGCAGTTTTGGCAACAGATCAAACAGGACATTCCAAGAGGCAGTGAACAGGACACCAGGAGCAGGAGGACACATCCACTCAGCCATCATCTTGTCTTTTGACAGGATCACTGCAGACTGTCAATACCCACCATCCCGAGTCCTTACTAAGATGTAGGACACACAGTCACACAATCAGCAGTTTTTCACTTCATGAATACAGTCCATTCCAACTTCCTGCACTCTGTCAGGGTTATAGGGGCTCCATTCCTGCATCCTGCAGGGTTCTAGGGTTCCCATGGGGGACATCTGGGAACAGAGTGCTATGAGATGACAGAAGTCCCAACCACAGTCCTGTCCTGCCTGACAATGTAAACACCTGTTACCCAAAGCTGTGATCTCTTGGGAGAGGGAGGTCACCAAAGGGAGGAGAGCTCTGCCTTGCCCTCAGGTACTGAATTTGTGATCTCTCTCTCTCTCTCTCTCTCTCTCTCTCTCTCTCTCTCTCTCACACACACACACACACACACACACACACACACACACACACACATATACACACACACACAGAATCTGAGGACACATTGTTGAGATGGAGACCAGGAAAGTTTATTAGTACACAAATCAGACCTGGGTATAGGCACCCTTGGTAGCAGGTGCTATGAGCGCTGTAACATCATGGATCTTTGGCTCCAATCCACCTTTGAGTGAGTATTCCCCTTGATGGACACCTGGGGCCCTCCACTGTTCTCACTGCTGCACTGTGATATCACTTAGGCCCAGAGGTTTCAAGGTTGACCCACTTACTAGGTTTGGGATGTGGCCACAAAGAGCATTTTTTAGTTTAAACAAAGTGTGGGCTCTGCCACATGCTCCCATCAGGACAGCTGTCTATCCTTGACATTTGTTTTCCTTTGCAAACATGTAGCAATTGTTTCCCCAAGGTTTTCTTTTTCTTTCTCTTCCCATAATAAGTATCTTTAAGATATCCTTGCATGGCCACTCATGACTGTAATCCTAGATACTCAGGAGGCTGAGCTCTGAGGAGTGTGATTTGAAGCCAGCCCAGGCAGGAAAGTCTCTGAAACTCTTTATCTCCAATTAACCAGCAACAAAGATAGAAGTGGAGCTGTGGCTCAAGTGGTAGAGCACCAGCCTTGAGTAAAAGAGCTGAGGGTCTAGACCTTGAGTTCAAACCCCACTGCAAGTGTGCATGCACACTCACAAGAAAAGAAAAGGGGGGAAAAGATAGCTTTGCTCCATTCCCAGAGAGCACTAATTACTTGCAGTTCTACTCTTATTTTGTTTTTTTTTACTAAAGGTTGCAGCTTGTTGATGGGATATAAGGCTTAAAACAAAGTTAGTCATACCTATGTACTTTGAATCAAGACATTCATGAGTTCCTGGCCCCCGTTTCCAAGCCTTGTTTCTTTGCCTCATTAGGAGACAAATACTGATGGCGTTGTTTTCAAGAGGAGCACATGCCAGCGTGGAGAGAAAGGCATGGGCCCACTTCTCTCCTGCTTCACTGATTCCTTGTGTTTTGAGATGAACCGGAGAAAAAAAAAACGATTTTTCCCAACCTCCTTTGCATCCAGGAGCTATAAATGGAAAGAGTGGGTTGGGATTTCTCAGAAAGTTTCTTAGAGTAGTTGATCTAGCTGGGAAGTGGGGTTTCCCCCCCTGTTTTTCTGTCTTATTTTTGACTGACTATATACATGAAGATTTTCTCTCAGCAGTTATTTTATCACCAGGAAGGTGAAAGTCATTGATGCAGGTAGGGCTAGCAAAGGAAAAGCTGGCAGGGTCCTTTTGCTATGTGTGGACCTCTCCTAGCTGAAGCCAGGATTCATGTCGTAGGCTAGTTATGACTGCATCAGGTTTAGGCAACATTTTCCTCTGGTGTGGCATCTCATAAGAAGGTAGATGAGGAGAGTCCTGGCTAGGTCACCTGGCTTTTATTGGCCAACTGGTCCTGTGGGTTGATTTACAATGGGCTCTGTGTCATGGTCCTGGGTAATGGACAGCCAGGAGATGGTAGGACATCCTGCATCTTCTCACATCCTTCAAAGTCCTCCAAGGCGAACTTTCTTGGGGGAGATGAAGAGGGTGGAGCTCTCCCCCATCCCATCCTAAGCCCAACCTCCAAGACAAATGCTGTGAGGCCAAGGGTCAGGCAGAGTTAACACTAGAGATGATGCGAATCTGAATGTCAGAGGTGTTGTGTCCTAGAGAGGTGTGGAGGGGGAAGACCTCGTGAGGGGCTGGTAGGGGTCCTGCTTCCAGCAAGCTTTGTCCTGTGAGCTCAAGGGAGGGGATCTGTGTGTGGGTGAGGCCATTTGCTCTGCCTCATGGAGAGGTTGCTGGGGCCCGTGACCCTGGAACCTTGAGTTTTAACTGGCTCTGCGCATTCTGTGCTGTGTAACACTGCACACCTTGTAACCTTTTGGGTGTCTCAGCTTCTCCATCCATAGTAACAGTAGCTACCCTTGGCACACTGCTGGAACAGATGCTTTCAGAACTTCCATGCAAATCTGACTTTCCAGAAGAGGAAACTAAGGCTCAAGGGAGCCCTGACCTTGGGCCCAACGTCATATAGTAAGGTAAGGATTGGAACTGCTTCTACTTACGATAACACTGTCACACCATCATTGCATAGATGTGTGTGTGTGTGTGTGTGTGTGTGTGAGAGAGAGAGAGAGAGAGAGAGAGAGAGAGAGAGAGAGAGAGAGAGAGAGGAGAGCATGGACTAGTAATGGACCTGAACTCAGTGCCTCTTGTCCTGTTTCCACTGTCTTCCTGGCTCAAAGCAGGTGCTCACTAAATACTTGTTAGATGAGTGGCTGGATGGATTCGGGTTCTGCCACAGCCACAGAAAACCAGTTTCGTGCCCTCTCTCTGATTCAGTGCCACCATTTGTATGAGGACATGAGGATGTCCCAGCCCTATTCCTCCACCAGGAAATCCCACGGAAGGACAGAGGAAAGCCACACGGGTACAGAAATGCAGTTTTATTGTGGGGAGGGGGTGGAGGGAGCAGGGGATAATGGTATCCATGCCACTGTCCTACTGTGAAGAGTTTGTCTGGGAGGTCTGTGGAGCTGGATTTGGGCCTTCCTCTCTCCTGGGACTTTCCAGAGGGAGATGACACAGGATTCAAGTGGACCCCGGGGTCATTGTCCTGGAATGAGATCACAGGGTGTCTGGATGTTGGGAGTCATAATACAGTGGGGGCTGCCATTCTCGGGACCCCTTGTGGGACCCTGATCTGTCCCAGCCCTCCCACAGCACCCCTTGGCACCTGGAATCTGAGGTCTTTTTCTGACACCTAGTCCCCATTCTTCCTCATTCCTCTCCCCTTCTCTAGAATAATGGGAGATGGAAACAGACTGGAAAGCAGCCAGAACTTGAGCCACAATCAAGGTGAAATATGATCAGGACTGTAGATCAGTCTGAGATCAAGGTCAAGGTTCAGTCTGTAACCAAAGCTTGGGGCTTAGCCAATAGCAGGCATTAAGTTCAGTCTGTGCCTAGGATCTGGGCTCAGTCTAGGTGTGTGATCAAGGCTCATAGTTGATGGTAGCCAGAATCAGGGCTCAGTCTGGGGCCAGGATGGGGACTTAGATTGGAACTCAGATTAGGGCTCAGTCTTTGCTGGAAAAAGAAGCAAAGCCCAGCCTGGTTCTTGCTTGCTTCCCCACAGGTTCTGTGCACGGTGGTGCAGAGCCGGCCCTTACCAGCAGGTGGCACCACAGCAGTCCTCCTTGTGCTTCCTCTTCAGAGGATGGCTTGCAGGTCAGCAGGGACAGCTGAAGGACAAAATCAGGAGCAGGCCTCAGTCTCTGCCATGGAAAACGGCACAGACCAGAGACCACTAGCTACTACCCTCCAGGGGCCAGTGGCAGCTGTGGGACCTCAGGGGTGTCCTAGCTCCCCTCTTGTGAAATGGCTATAATGACAGTCCCTACTGCGCAGGGCAGGGCTGCTGACAGGACCCAAGGTGACTGCCTAAGGCCGTTTTCATACAGCTACCTCCAGGGCCCTGGTGCCTTCAGTGTCCCCCTCCTATTTCCTCACAGTGCCCCCAGCCCTATGATACCTGGTCACCTAAAGGCCATAGAGCTTCCCTGAGTAGCAGAAAGACAACCCCATCCCCTTCTTGCCCTGCATGCTGGACTTCCTAACCAAGCCTGACCAGGCCAGGTGCAGGGCTGTGTGTTCGCATGCACCCTTCCCCGGGCTGTGACTTACCACTCAGAATGTCAGAACCGAGAGACAAGTTCAGACTGTTGACCAGGGTCTGGATCAGTGGGCACACCTAACAGACAGGAAGGGAAGAGGGGCAGGGGGGGGGTGGGGGGGGAGGAAAGAAAGATGGTTCTCAACAGGAAATGCATGCCTGCCACCCCACCGAGGCTGGCTTCCTCATCTGAGAAACTTTGACCTCAGGATCTGTGAACAATGGAACCCCCCACCTCAGGCGCTCCAAGTCTAAAACCTCAAACTACTAGAAGTCTAGAATCTCAAGAGTCCAGAAGCAGATTCTCAGAAACTTTCAACTTGGAAACGCAGGGATCTTTGAAGGTTCCCGTATTTCCTAGGTACTATCGGCGCTGTTCTTAGGGCATGCCTTCATCCTATCACCTGCGGAGGCCTATGAGAAAACTGGGGCAGGGCCTGAGAGTGAACTTTCCTCCTCTTTTCCTGCTCTCTCTCTCTCTCTCTCTCTTTCTCTCTCTCTCTCTCTCTCTTCATCAACCTATCTATAAAGACAACCTGAGTGCTGGTGGCTCATCCTTGTAATCCTAGCTACTCAGGAGGCTGAGATTTGAAGATTGTGGTTGGAGGCCAGCCCAAGCAGAAAAGTCCTTGGAACTCTTTTTTTTTTGGTCAGTTATGAAGGTTGAACTCTGGACCTGGGCACTGTCCCTCAGCTCTTCAGCTAAAGGTGAGCACTCCACCAATTGAGCCACAGAGCCACTTCCAATTTTCTGGTGGTTCATTGGAGATGAGTCGCAAGGACTTTCCTTGCCTGGGCTGGCTTTGAACCGAGATCCTCAGAGCTCAGGATTACAGCTAGTAGCTAGGATTACAGGTGCCCAGCCTCTGTGAGACTCTTTTCTCCAATCTGCCACCAAAAAGCCAGAAGCAGACATGTGGCTTAAGTGGTAGAGCACTAGCTTTTAGGATAAAAGTTCAAAGTCAGGGCTGAGTTCAAGGGCCAGGACAGGCTCACAAAACAAAACAAAACCCAAAGGCAATGGGCAACACGCAAGATATGGGTCCTATGATCTCAGCAATGCCAGGCCCCTGTGCTCCTAGGCTGAGATACTGAGGAGGAGGAGCCCACCGGAGCCAGATCAGGCCAGTGAATGCCACTTCTGACCTAGCTCTGGGTATAAGGAGTGGTGGGAGGTGAGTGGGGGAGGGGAGAGACTCACAAGATTTTGCAGCAGGAAGGACACTCCTGTCCTCAGGACACCAGAGGTCACATCCAGTAAGTTGTTGAGCAGCCAGATTCTTCTGAAAAAGATGAAGAGCCAACAAAACCTGGTCAAGTGGGCAGAACACCTTGAAGACAGATGTGCCCTGGACTCTGAATTGCCCTCCCAGCCACAGAGGGCACCCTCATGCAGAGGGGCCGTCACCTATCACCCACCCCGACAGCTCCTTACTCAGGGCGTCTGGAGAGTCTCCTCACAACTCTGAGACCTCATCATTCATTCCTCCCTTCAACCCATGCTGTCAGCCATGTATGTATGCCAGGCATCCAACTGGGCAAAATGAAGTGAACCTGGCCAATGCCATGTTGTCCATCTTCAACTTTCAGTACAACTGTCACTCCCTCCAGGCAGCCCTCACGGGCTGATCATTTAAGGCAGGGCCTGACTCTCACCATGTCCTGTTAAGTGTAATGCCCAGTGCAGGGTTCACCCCTTTCCTTGTTGGTCTGGATGCCTATCTGCTTGTCTTGCCCTTAGGAGGAACTTCAGGATGGACTCTGTTGGTCCTGAATTCTCCAAAGTTTAGGGTAGTGATTAAGTTACATATAGCCGATATGACACACATTTTGGGCTAAAAGAATGAGCAAAGTAAATATGCAACCAAACAAATAAAAAGCTATGATGTGAACTCTGAAGGGCCAGAGTAGACTATTAAGAGTCAGAATAGACAAACTTTGCTAAGAGGATGATGAGATACATTGAGTTGGAGTGAGGAGAAAGGTGTTCCAGGTATCTAGACCATGGCTTGCAAAGGTCCTGTGGTAGGAATAAAACTTGTCCGAATTATAGAGCAAAAGCCCAGTGTGTCAGGAGCAGAACGAGGGTGGGCTACACGACTAGGGAGAGGGCTCCGGACTGGACCCAAAGTGAGAAAAGAAGCTCAGAGAGAATGTGGAGCGGCAGCCCCTTCTACAGATAGAGACACGGATCCAACATGGCAGGAGGCAGGATCCATTCTTTCTGTTTTTAGAAGGTTTCTGGGCCAACTGTGATCACACGCTGTGGTTGGGAGGGGCTGGAGCCTCTGGCCATGGTCACCGGGGTTGACCACCCGCGCTAGGCCTTGGCTAGACAAATTTTATTCTCCCAGTCAGGGCCAGAGCCACCCCCTCTCCCTCCACCTTCTTTTCTGAGCCAAACCTGCTTTTCAAACACATAGTTTAAGATGTAGATTTTGTGGATTAACAGGGATGAATGATTTCAATGGAGACAGATTAGGATCTCAAACTCTTATTGCAATTATTTGCTAGTGGGTGGAGACCAATGTGAAATGAGAGCTCCTGATGGGCATTTACTTCCCAGCTGCTCCCCCCACCCCCCACTCAAGCAAGGCAAGAAAGCAGATGCAATTTAAATATCACGTTACATATCCATCATTCTGTAAGGATAGATAGATTTTAATTCTCCAGGAAGATGTAACAGCCTCTTATGCATGCATGCACCTAACAAGAGAGGTTCAAAGGCATAAAGTAACATGGACATTGATAGAATTGAGATTCATGATCATGGTTAACATCTCTTGCCTCAGTGATGGAGTTGAACCCTTCTTTGAGTCAGCTTGGCTAGGATGATTGCTGAGAGTTTGAGATAGCTCAGGCTCTTGTTAAAGGTTTATTTTCTGGCCTTCCATTTTTAGAAGGCTATGAGTAAGCACCATTATTGTCCCCACATTACCTATGTGAAAACTGAGACTTCAAAAGATTCAGCTAGTTATATAGTTCTAAGTTATTGGGAGAGCTGACCTCTCAAGTATTAGGACAGGAGTGGAATTAGGGGATCCCCAAGTCCATGAGCCTCATCTTTGCAGAGACAGAAGGCGGTCTTACCTGTTCAGTAAGGAGATGGAGAGTTTGTCTAAGTCAATGGAGCATTTTGACAAGGCTACCTTCAGCTGTTGGGTCTGGGGATCCTTTTCAATTGCGAGTCCGCCCACAAGATCCACAGTGGTTGACAAGTCCAACACCTGCTTAAGGAGAGGCCTGAAGGAAATGAGAATCACAGTGATCAGCTATGGAGACTGTTTCCACCTCGTTCCCTGCCTTCCTCTGCCTGGGTGGGTGATGTCTACATGGACCATGTTACACAATCAAGGCCATGAGGGTTTAGCGCATAGGAAATTTTTATTCAGTGTCTCACTAATGATTTCCCTGTGTAGCTCTTTTAAAATTAAAATTACATTTTATATGTAGGCAGTTTAGGATATAGTGCACATTATAATGTGCATTTATTTGTAATACTCCCTGCTATTTAGAGACTATGGAGGTATAAAATAATGCTGGGAGAAATTTTGCCAAAGAATGTTCTCAAGTTTTCCAATTAGGTATTCCTTCCTTCCTTCCTTCCTTCCTCCCTTCCTTCCTCCCTCCCTCCCTTCCTCCCTTCCTCCCTTCTTTTTTTTTTTTTTTTGAGTCAGTCCTCATGCCCTTGATTGGATTTAAAAAAATTATTGTAAAGATGCTGCTGGTTGGATTTTTTGTTTTTCTCTAAGCTGGTATTCTACCACCCAAGCCACAGCTTTCTGCTGATTAATTGGAGATAAGAGTTTCACAGACAACAATGAGATATACAAGTGGTTATGTCAAAAAATGAAATTTACAACTTTGGTGGGGGGGTGGAGGATCAGGTGGGGGGGGAAGGGGGGACAGTATGGGAAGGGATGGGAAGGGGAAACAAAGGAGGAGGCAACAATGCTTGATAAGAAATGTACTCGTTATCTTGCCCATGTAATTGTAACCCCTCTGTATGGTATTTTCACAATTAAAAAAAAAAGTCTCACAGATCCCTTAAGAGAGGAACACAAAGGCACAATGCCTATGTGCATCTGATCATATAGAATAATATTTATCAGGGCTGGGAAGGTGGCTCAGTGCTAGAGCACTTGCCTTGCATGCCTGAGGCCCTGGGTTCCATTCCTCAGCACCACATAAGCAAAAAGAAAAAAGCCGGAAGTGGCACTGTGGCTCAAGTGGTAGAGCGCTAGCCTTGAGCTGAAGAGCTGAGGGACCGTGCCCAGGCCCAGAGTTCAGGCCCCACGACCAGACCCCCTCCCCCCCAAAAAAAGAATAATATTTATCAGGGGAAAAAAAAAAGAGTCTCACAGACTTTTCTTCCCAGGCTAGTTTTGAACCTCAACCTCAGCTTCCTAAGTAGTTAGGTTTCAGGTATGAGCTGTAATTAGCACCCAGCCCAATGAAAGTGTCATAATTTCAAAAGTATATTAGATGGAGTATTCAGAGAGATTTGTCAAAGCTTACTAGACTATTTTTAAAGATCGGGAGTTTGAATCTGAGAAAGTTCCCCTTATTTACAGATTGGAAAACAGGTTAACGGCCACATCTCAGCCCCAAGTCCCCAACAGGAGCCCAACCCAGGTCTAAGTCATCAGTACTTACAGGACCACAGATACTTTGGCAGTAAGTGGGACTCGCAGCTGAAGGTCTTTGCCGTTGGCAGACAACTCAGGTTTAATACCCAGCATGGCAATGTCGGTGATTTTCAGCCTGATCAAAACCCACAATATTGATGGTTTATTATCTCCTGGGGCAGCCATTTGCGGGAACACTCTCTGGCCTGTGATTTGCCAAGAATTTGGGCCTCACCAACCTCTGCCCCCTCCTCCCAGGCCTCACTGTGCCTGCTCAGAAAGGCTACTGTCTGCCTCCCAGTACAGACTGATAGGATGGTGCCCCGAGAATAAGTGCCAAAGCCAGAATGTGAACCCAGAACTTCATGTCTCCAAAAGTCCATGCACGCATGGCGCCAGCTACTCGGAAGAGGTATGGATTTCCTGTTTCTTTCCCCAGTGGGTTTCAAACTTTTGTCTTTAGCTGTATTTAGAGAATAGCCTTATTCTTTGGGAAAATCTATAGGAACCAGAAAACAGGTGGAGTTGAGGATGAACAAAATGATTCATCCTGAAAAACTCAACCCCATGAGATGCTCAGACAGGTTCTTGAGTGCTGACCTAATCTACTCATGCTGGGGTGGGGGTGGGGGTGAGGGATGGGGGGAGGGCTGGCCTCAGACCACTGTGGTGGAGCTGGGGAAAATATGGCTTGATCTTACTCTGACTTCTTTAAAGACATATTTTAAAAAGTAATGTCCCTCTTTTGTGGGCGAAACAATGTAAAGTACCAACGTACTGAATTCCATTTGCTGTCAGCAAAGACAAGGGACTTTGCAACAAGTTTGTGGTATCCAGAAGCTGATTTTTGATCTGTAGGAAAGACTGGGATTGCTGGATCTCTTGTAGTTTGTCATTGATTTTCAGGATGTCACCTGCCAAGACAAGTCATCATGCAGTGTCATATACCACTCACTCAGAAAACAGACAGGCTTACCAGGGAAGACAGTCATTTCTATGACAACCCAAGGAGACAGATGTTGGTATTACTTTCATTTGACAGATGAAGAAATAAAGGTCCAAAGGTTAAACATTGTGTCTAGTCCCAGAGCAAGGGAGCCTTTCTTCCTCCCCATGCTGCCCTCATACTAACACACATCATTTACCAATAAAGCAATCGATCCATTAGCCATTGATATTGTGTGTATGTCTGTCTATGGTGACTGAGGTCTATGGCTTTAAAGGAGATACATCAGTTTGAGAAAAAAAAACAAACCTGTGAGGCCCTGGAAACCCAGGGACAAAATGAAGAAAAAAAAAAGTCACCACAGATGTTGGCGATTGCCTGTGAAAGAGTTAAAGATGTGTAGAAAATTCAAGTGAGAAACAACAAAGCATTACTAATTCAAGGTGAAACAAAGCATTGGAGAGGGAAGGAGAGAGCAGAGAAAGAAAGAGGCTACCCTTGGGCTGGGAAGGTGGCTCAGTGGTAGAGCGCTTGCCTTGCATGCTCGAGGCCCTGGGTTCGATTCCTCAGCACCACGTAAGTAAAAAAAAGCCGGAAGTGGCACTGTGGCTCAAGTGGTAGAGTGTTAGCCTTGAGCTGAAGAGCTGAGGGACAGCGCCCAGGCCCAGTGTTCAGGCCCCACAACTGGACCCCCCCACCAAAAAAAAAAAAAAGAAAGAGGCTAGGCTTCAGTTTTCAGCTGTGAAATTCCAGAACAAGTCCTGTCTTTATTTTTTGAAGGTTGCTTAATCCTTGACAAGGTTTGAAAGGCAGCCATTTGCAGAAGTTGCCTCCTCCTACCAGAACTGATTTTCAGTGTCCTGTAAGAATTTCCAGAAAAATGAAGAAAAAGCCAAGTTCTTTTACAAAACATAAAATGGAAGAATAATTAAAGGTAAGTGGGTAAGTTTATAGAGAAATAGGACTCCTTTAATTCTCACAAATTAATACAGATCAGCAGGATAGAGTCAATCACCAACCGGAGAATATTCTAAGAACACAGACAAAATGTTTTCGTTAAAGTATGTGAAGGCACAATAAATACATTTTTTTAAAAAAACAAGAAAGTGGGGCTGGGAAGGTGGCTCAGTGGTAGAGCGCTTGCCTTGCATGCTCGAGGCCCTGGGTTCGATTCCTTAGCACCACATAAGCAGAAAGAAAAAAGCCGGAAGTGGCGCTGTGGCTCAAGTGGTAGAGCGCTAGCCTTGAGCTGAAGAGCTGAGGGACAGCGCCCAGGCCCAGAGTTCGGGCCCCACGACCGGACCAAAAAAAAACCCAAAAAACAAAAAACAAGAAAGTTCTCATATTTAAAGACATGCAAAGAGAAGTAACTTTCAATTCATCTACAAGACTAGCAAAAGATTTAAAGCTGTCCAGACCAGGGAGGAGAGAAGGGGGAAGAAAGATGGAGAAAAGAAACTCTCTCAGCTGGAGAAAATGTTAATATAGGAATTATTTGCCAGTATTTAATTGAAAAATGTACATGCTTTTTGAATTTTTGAAATCTCACTTTTAGGAACTTATCCTATGCCCATATTGTCAAAAGTTTATCAGGATAAAATATGTAAGAGGATATTTATTTTACCCTTATTTATTATAATAAAATGAAAAACGGAAGAACCATCTAAGTAAATCAGCTGTGAAGGGCATCTCCTGGTGGTAGCCTCTAGTATTGCAGGCACAGTATTAAGGTCTGAGTGGTACTTGATGGTCACATTCTCACTGACTCACCTTGAAGCACACTGTTATCACCTTGAACAACAGATTTCAGATTATCACCTTCAATAATAGGTTTCAGATTGTCCACAGTTTTACTCAGAGTGCCACTGAAATCTCCAAGAACAGACGCTGAGGCCCCATTGAGCAGGCCGCACAAGAGAACAAGTTTCCAAAGCTGAAACATCTTCAGTCTTGACACCAGGATAGTCATTGGAGAAACAAGAGGAAAAAGAATGGTCAGTGAAAACCTGTCATTCCCAGCTTAACCTTCCTGTAAAGCACATGTGGCTATCTGGTTGACAGATGGACAGCCCAGGTCAGAAAGTCCAGAGCCTCTGCCCTAGAGCCATCTAGCCAGCGAGGGAGGGGCTGGGATTCACTGTGGTCAGCCTGGGATGACATAGGAACTTTACCCATGCTGACTTCTCGGCCTGAAGTGGCTTTCTCCTTGCTCACTCTCACCTTCCAATTCTCCACTATGGCCCACCTGAGCCCTTCCCCAGCATCTTTAACCTACCACCCGACTGCCTTCATTCCCTGACTAGTGCATATCAATTACCTATTGCCTTTGCTACCAGACTGTAAGCTCTCTCCTTAGAACAAGAACTGAGACATCCCTCTTGGACCCCAAGATCCCAATAAAAGCCTATAAGCAAGTAGGCAAACTATCTTGAACAAAGTGTAGGTTTAATCAATGGATTCCACATGACACCATTGCATTGCTCATTGATCTGATACGTCTCAGAATCTATCTTTCTCTAAATTGGTCTACTCTGATCCGAACAGCCCTCGAAGTCTTGTGAAGACACCCCTCTCTACCAATGTGGGCAGCCATGAGGGGAGAGCCCAGCACTCACAGGTGTAGAAGTCGGTGCTCGCAGGTGCTTGTTCCCCCACACCTTCTTCTGGGTTTCTGACGATGCTGGTGGCCCTTATATGCTGGTGATGGGATGAGAGGCGATTCCTGCTTCCGGACCGTCCCATCCAAGGAGACTCCAAAGAAAATAGCCTAGGTTGGGCCAAGAGACACCCAATGTAAAGGTCACCCCAGACATGGGAGTTACAGTGATGGATGTTGGGGGGAGCCTTCTGCCAAGACTAAGACTGGGTCGCACAGAGCTCGTAGCTGCCCAGGAGGAGGTCAGGGGTGAAAGTAAGGGGAACATGCAGGACAGGTTGAACTGGAGAAGGTTCTGATGAGAGGACCTGGAAACCTTGGTGTGGAAACCAAGGCTCCAAGAGGAAAGCTGCCAGCTGAGGTCACCTGGCAAGATGGAAATAGAACAGTAGCTCACAAGTCCCTATATCCCATCCTCCCTCTCTCCAGGGCCTCAGTGTGATATCTGTGATGATGGGAAGACCAGGAACCCCAAAAGCTTCCCTTTCCATCTTGTGGGTAGAATGTGAGAATGAGCATGGTAAGTTTCTGCATTAGTCTCACTTGTAGCCCACAGAAAAGTCCAGAAAGGTGGCATCTTGTTTGATGCTGTGTGGCCAGCATCAGGAGATAACCTACTTCCAAGCCAGGGTATCCCTCTGAGACTTACCCCCGCCCCCAACTCCCATCCCTCCAGCTTCAAAGACCTCCATGTCCTTCAGGACCTTGTCCTTTCCCCGATTAATCCTAACCTAGTCTCCACCCTTGAGCCCCTGCTAGCCTCCTTTCCTGGAAGACGCCGGCCTCTTCTCCTCTGGCCTTCACACAAGCCGATCCCACTTCCTCTGGGGTGGAACTCTCCTTCCCAGTGGTCTGGGTCACCTCATGCCCTTCCCAGGTGCCCATCTGAGCTGGCACCTCCCACTGCTCCAGCCTCAGCTTCCTCACATCTGGACTTGTTTCTCCTTAGAGGTGAGGGGGGCAGATCCTGTGCCCTAGGGTCCCACAGAGACACACCCTCTCCCTCCGGGAAGTCTGATTAAAGCCAGCCTCTACCTGAGGAGGCAGTGAGGCCCGATCAGCAGCAATCTCAGAAACTGGACAGGAGGCTACAAAGATTGGGGGGAGGGAAGGGGGGTATTCCACGTGACAGCGAGCCATGCTTCTGAGAGTTCAGAGATCCTATTGTACCTCCTGTTTCCTCTTTCCTCCTCCTGGGCACCCAGACTCCTCTCTTCTCCTCCCCTTTCCCAGACCCCAGCATGGCCATTCCTCCACTCCCTTCTCACCCACCCAGAACAAAGTAAGCTTTTCCCCCTGGCACACCCTCCCAGCTGACTTCAGAGAATGAAGAGCTCTAGTCCCCCTGGGGCTGGTTGTAAACAGCATCTATGACCTGATTTCTACAGAGACGGGCTCTCAAGGTCACTAGCCCTTCTGCCCCCAGCTTGCGTGGAGACAGGCCTTGGCTGTACCCCTTTGAGAGCTCCCAGTCTGGCCTCTCCTAGGTGAAGCTCACCTTTGTGGAGAGAAACTACACCCCTTTCTTCTTGAGAGGCTCTGGGTTTACTCCACAGACAGTGTAGGGAATTTTTGTTGTTGTTGTTATTTTGTTTGGTTTTGGTGATTCTGGGACTTGAACTCAGGCCCTCGTTTGCTGGGCAAGCGCTCTTGAGCCAGAGTCCCAGTCTTTGTTTCATTTATTTTTGATAGGGTGTTGAAATTTTGCTCAGGCCAGTTGCAGAGAACTATTCTCTTACCTCCACCTCCCTCTGCGCTGGGATGACACCCATGAGCCCACCATGCTTGGTTTGTTATACTTTGTTTTTTTGGTCAGTTGTAGGGTTTGAACTCTGGGCCTGGGTGCTGTCCCTGAGCTCTTCAGCTCAAGGCTAACACTCTTATCACTTGAGCCACAGTGCCACTTCGGGTTTTCTGGTGGTTAATTGGATCTAAGAATCTCATAGACTTTCCTGCCTGGGCTGGTTTTGAACTGCAATCCTTAGATCTCAGCCTCCTGAGTAGCTAGGATTACAGGTATGAGCCACCAGCACCCAGCAACATGGTTTGTTTTTGAGATAAGGTTTCAGAGATTTTTTTTTGCTTGATCTGGCCTTAAACTATAATCCTTCTATCTTTACCTCCAGAGTACTTGGTATTATAAGTATCTGCTACCATGCTTGGTCCTGTGAAGAATTCTTGAATAAGCACATTCTGGACTTATATACTTGTATAACTCTCTTTCACTACACACACACACACACACACACACACACACACACACACACACACACACACACACACACACATACACGAATAAGACTGGACTCACATGAAGAAAACACACACTTCTTGGCCTGCACTGAGGAGTTCATTTCACAGAATCTAGTTGGTTCTTCCCTGAGGGAAATAAAATGACTGTTCATGCCAGGGGGATTGTAGACTTCCCAGAACGCCTGGGTCTGTTATATAATTTATCTGTCAAAACACAGAAAATGACAGAATGTATATCATTTGAGGCCTGGATCCAGAAATACCCGAAGAGATGCCCCTGGAGTTTTCAGCTCAAATAAAACGTGTCCCTTGCTCCTCCTTTATTGTTGCTACTGCTATTTGTTGTTGTTGTTGTTGTTGTTGTTGACAAGGTCTTGCTCTGTAGCTCAGGCTGGCCTTGAACTTCTAAGCCTCCCAAGTATTAAGACTACAGGTGTACACCACCATGCCTGGCTTTTTTTTCTTCCTCTAAATCAACATGAGTTGGCTTCCTCCTCTCAAGTGCACAGCAGAGCTGCCTGTGCCCATGCTGCCACGCGGTGTGATCCTGTCCCACGAAGATCAAGACAAGATCAAGATTAGTTGAAACCACTCAGGAGGCTGGCTTGAAATACGGGCGCCTAAGTCTGGTCCCTTGGTCATCTAGCTCAGGGGCTCTAGCTAGTGATGAACCAGGGACGGGCTGATTGGACCTCAGGACTCACAGGTGTCTTTCCCCTTGAGTCCAAGGGGCTCATCCCCACCCAGACCTCCAGAGCCAGCTCATCCTCCACACCACCTTGCCACCCCTACATGGCCAGGGCACAGCACTTGGTAGATACGCAAAGAGCCCTCAGCTGATGATAGCTGCCATTTTTTAAAAAATTAACCAGGGCCGTTTTCTACCTCACTCCATTGCATCCCCCATCAGCTTCATAGGAGCAGTAGTTTTGCTCCCCCCTTTTCAGAGTGAGGCTGAAGGAGGAGAGGACTGCTCACTCTAGGCCTCACAGACAAGAAGGGAAAGGCTGGGATATGTGTTGGTGCCCCAAATGTGAGCACAGCAGTTCCAGGGTGCAGCCTCTTGGGGGCAGTAGTGAGTCATATTCTTCTCCCCACTCCCACCCCCACCCCAGGGGGAGGTGAGGGGGTGAGGGGGAAAGGGCTGGTAGCTGCTTGGTGCCTTAGAGATGGGCATGGTGCTTCAGATACACATGCCTGCTAGTGCAGGCCTCCTATTGATTCCAGCACACAGATTTGGAGAGCCATTTTCCAGTTGAGGAAAAGAGGTGCAGGAATGACTTACCAGTCTGGCCCCTGGAGAAGAGCCTGGCACCCACAGTGGGCTGCGGCCAGTTGGCAGAGCAGTGGTGGCCTCGGGTTTGCATGTCGTGCTTCCTTTGGCCGTGTTGTCTGAGCTGATTCTAATTCTGGGTGTTCGGGGCCTGTGTCCATCCAGAACAGCACAGAGACTCAGGTGGGAGTCCCCAAGGCCTTGGGCTGGGGCAGAGTGGTCTGGGCCCCTTCTGCTCTCCCTCTGCAACTTAGCCAGGACCCTTGGGCCTCTCCTCCATGTGAGTGTGACCAGGGAGTGTGACAAGGGAGGGCAGCTCTGTGCTTCTGGGAACACAGCCTAGGACTAGAGCACAGAGTAAGGTGGCAGCCAGGCCCCTGTCAGAGCCTGGCTGTGGCCGTGGCTTCAACCAGTCCTCAGTTGACTCTTAGTTGCCTGCCATCAAGCTCCAAAAACCCATGATACCCCCTTCCCTGGCAGTGGGGCTCAGTGCTGGGGGTGGGTAGGGTGGATGAAATCTTTTGACAAGGGTATTCTGCACCCCAAGAACACAGCTTTGGGGAGGGTGGCTGAGCAGCATGTGGTAACCTCTGACCTGTCAGCTGGCCCCAGGCCTCAGTTGCCCCATCTGTAAAATGAGGTGAACACCTTGTCTCTGGGTCTCAGTGGCAGGCAAGTCGGGGACATCAGCAGAGGCCTGGGTTCAAACCCTCACTCTGTGTTGCTGGGCAGTGGGACCTGCACCAGGGCTTTGCCTGGTGGAGCCTCGATTTCCTGCTGTATGCGGTGGGGGTGAGGTGAAGCAGCATGTGAGAGCAGACTCTAAGATCCTGGGGAGGAGAAAACCCCCGGAGCTACAGTGGCAGTGAGATTATGTAACAGACAGAAAGGACTCTGGTGAAGCTGGTTATTGTCCCAGGTCATGGGAGGCCCAGGCAAGCAGATCTGAGATGTTCCGGAAAGAAGCCATGACAGCCACCACCTCTTACCTTCCAGGAAGTCTCCCCCAACAGAAAGGTACCTGTCTCTTGGGGACAAAGGCTTTGGCCCTCAAGGGGTTGTGGGATGAATTTCTCATTGAGAATCTCCAGTGAGGCATTAAGGATTAGCTGTCCCAGCTAAGACATCCCGGTGTGACCACTAATCCTCCGCCATGCAGCTTCCTGCTCCTACTGGCCTGGCCCTTCAGCAACCCTAAGGGACCTTGAGCTGCTGTCTTTCTCCAGATAGCAGTCAGCTCTTTGGGTGCAAAGTCATCAGGCGACTGAGATCAGAGAAGGCTAGTGTGTGTGTGTTGTTGGGGGAGGTTGGGGAGGTCGCTGGAACCAGGTCTGGCTGCTGACGGTAGTTCTAGGGCTCTGCACCCCACCCACCCAGGTACCCTTCTCCCCCAGGACAGAGGCAGCTCCCAGCCCTTCCCTCAGGATGACAGACGTAGTCAGGTGCCCCCAGCTCACCCACCCAATGAACTTTCTTCCTTTTGTGAGTAATCATCGCTTTCTTTTTGAAATCAGTCAGGTGTGAAGAATTCACACAGGCCCTGGTTTCTCAAGCTGGAAACGTCTATGGAGGAATTCTTTGTGTATAACACAAAGAAGGCGATAAACTGCATTCAAATATTGCCTTTTTTCCTTTTTTTTTTTTAGAACAGCTATCTGTAACAGTAACGAAATCGTCACAGTTAGTCTGAAGACCTTTGATTGCCCCTTGAGCAGCTTACACATTGATGGCTTCTTTTCTTATTTTGAAGGTGATGCTATTTCATTTATTTTGGTTCCTCAAACCTTTCCCTAGGCCCTGGGCTCTGCTGGAGCCACCATGGAGTTACGTGGCTCCCTTCAGGAGTTAGGGCGCCCCTTCCCACAAGCTAACTGGTAGACAGGGCTTCCTTCCTCCTGTCCCTCAGATGGCTCACCAAGCATTTTCTCCAAAATTTTCAAAGGAAACGGGATGTACAGATGGACTTTTCTGTGGGCCCAGTGCCTCCCGGAGGAAACCTTGTTGGGTTTTGTTTTGTTTATTTTTGCCAGTCTTGGGGCTTGAACTCAGGGCCTGGGCACTGTCTCTGAGCTGCTTTTTTTTTTTTTTACTCAAGGCTAGCACTCTACCACTTGAGCCACAGTGCCATTTCCAGCTTTTTCTGCTTTATGTGGTTCTGAGGAATCAAACCCAGGGCCTCATGCATGCAGTGCAAGCACTCTACCACTGAGCCACCTTCCTGGCCCCTTGTTTTTCCTTTAACAAATTATCTGGTATCTGTTCCTTTGATCCCACACTGAGGCCCAGCCCAGTTGGTTCTTGTCCCAACCTCCAGGGTGGTCAGCTTGTGGCTTTGAGAAAAGCACAGTCTCATCACACACTCCCCACAATAGGGCCAGGTGCCTTCATTCTCACTTTATAGATGAGGAAACTGCGGCACTGCAAAAGCAAAACTTGTGCTACCTCACACAAAGCCAGACACGCAAAGACAACTAATGAGTGATCTCACATATGTGTGAAATCTACAAAAAAGAAAATGAGGCTGGGAATGTGGCTTAGTGGTAGAGTGCTTGTCTAGCATGTATGAAGCCCCGGGTTTCCTTCCTCAGTACCACATATACAGAAGAAGCTGGAAGTGGTGCTGTGGCTCAAGTGGTAGAGTGTTAGCATTGAGCAAAAGTAGCTCAGGGACAGTATCTAGGCCCTGAGTTCAAGCCCTAGGACTGGCAAAAACAAACAAAAAATCCCAAACACACAGAGAACAAAGCTTGGGGGGTACCAGGGGGGAGCAGGACAGGGCAGGACACTGGGCATGGAGGACAGAGGTGGGGAAGTAGCAGGTGAGCAGGACAGGTAGAGAAGGGATGTGTGAGGTGACAGGGTCCTGGGGCAGGGGCGTTGTGGGAAGTAAGTACATTCTAGCTGCTTCATCACAAACACCAATGAGAAGCTGTTATGGGAACTACAAGATGGCAAAGGGGAACAGGCTGCCTCAAGGTCTTCACATTCCTGCAGAAAGAACTTGAGGCCACATCCAGGTAGAGATCCAGGAAGTTCATCAGTAGAGCAAAGCAGAGCCAAGCCAGCCCAGGGAGCGGGCACACCTGATGACAGGCACCATCATAGGGATTTATCAGGAGAACAGGGGGTGTGGCTCCAACTCATCTCAGAAGTGCTCCCCTTTGTTCTGATGGCTGGTGCATTCATCATTCTTTTTGAATTCTTTTTATTGGTGTTAGAAAGCTAACGTACAGAGGGGCTTCAGATACATAAGTCAGGTAAAGAGTGCGTTTCTTTTGGGACCATATCACCCCTTCCTTGCTCTCTCCCATGTTCACTGTTCTTGCTGCAACACCATTTTGTCAGCCAGGCTCTGAGACTTCAAGACTGGCCTGCTTAAGGACCCTGGGGCACAGCTCTCTGGGTGTCCCCTCAAACACTGGATGGATTCTGCCACAGGTCCCCATCAACATGAAATCCATTCTTTTTTTTTTTTTTTGTCGGTCGTGGGGCCTGAACTCTGGGCCTGGGCGCTGTCCCTCAGCTCTTCAGCTCAAGGTTAGCACTCTACCACTTGAGCCACAGCCCCACTTCTGGCTTTTTCTGCTTATGTGGTACTGAGGAATCAAACCCAGGGCCTCATGCATGCAAGGCAAGTGCTCTACCACTACACCTTCCCAGTCCCCAAGATGAAATCCATTCTTGAGATTATGAATTTTCCTTTGCAAGCATTTTTTTGTGCCCAGAGGAATCTTTTTTTAAAAAAATATTATTTTTCTGGGTGCCGGTGGCTCACACCTGTAATCCTAGCTACTCAGGAGGCTGAGATCTGAGGGTCAAGGTTCAAAGCCAACCTGGGCAGGAAAGTCCTTGAGACTCTTGTCTCCAATTAACCACCAGAAAACCAGAAGTAGCAGTGTGGCTCAAGTGATAAGAGTGTTAGCCTTGAACTGAAGAGCTGAGGGACAGTGCCCAGGCCCAGAGTTCAAGCCCCACGATGAACAAAACATATATATATATATATATATATATATATATATATATATATATATATATGTGTGTGTGTGTATATATATATATATATGTGTGTGTGTATATATATATATATATATATATAGTTTTATTGTTATTACTAAGGTGCTGTCCAGAATGATAACCATTTCAGAGGAGTCATTTTTTGCAAGAGTTTTACTTTTTCTTTCCCTCCAAGAATAAGTGTCTTTCATGAAGATATCCTAGTTCAGTTCCCAGAGCACACTAATTATTTGGGCATGTGGATAAGGTCGGAGGAAGAGAAATGCCATTTTTTCTCTGCCCTACCCACTAAATGTTGCAGCTAATTGAGGTGTGAGGCTTAAAACAAAGAAATGAGTGCCTGTGTGCTCTGAATCAGATTATTTGTGAATACAGCATGTGTGTCTGAGGTCCTGGCTCCTAGATCCCAGCCTCCTGTGTCCTCATCCATGTGAGATGACTGAGTATATTAATTCTTATCACCATGGTAACACTTTTACCCACAATGCCATATTGTATATGTAAATATCCACTATACATTTTATTTCCTTAAGAAAATGTCACTGGAGGCTGGGAGGAGTGGCTCACACTTGTAATCCCAGCTGCTTAAGAGGCATGGATAGGGAAAATGGGAGTTCAAGGCCAGCTTGTGGGAGGGGGGAAGTTAAGAGAGATGCCATCTCAATCACAAGCTGGGTGTTGGTAGTACCTTGCCTATAACCCAAGCCACATGGGAGATATGAATAGGAGGATAGGAGGATTGAGGTCTGCATCCAGCCCCAGGCAAAAACTAGTAAGACCCTAATCTGAAAAGTAACTAAAGGGAAAAAGTAGTTGGTTGAAGAGCTATGTGTTCAGCTATGCTATCCTGGTGCTCTTTTAAGGTCAGGAGTCATGATTCTACCCTTTGCTGCGGATACCAGCAAGCCTGCCTGGGGCTGCCTGGTGGGTCCCAAACAACACTAAATTGAATTAAAAATGACAAGAGCAAGTTGATCAGCAGGACGATGGGCTGGCTGCCTAGCTGAATGCAGAGCTGCAACCCAGAATCCAGCAAGAAGAGCCCCTCCCAGACCCCTCCTGCTAACACCCCCTCATTCA